TCGAACCGGCCGGGCCGCAGCAGCGCCGAGTCGATAGCCTCGGGCCGGTTCGTGGCCGCCAGGATGAGCACGCCCGGCAGCGACTCGAAGCCGTCCATCTCGGTCAGCAGCGTTGTCAGCATGTTGACGCTGCCCTGCGAGCGCGCCGCGCCGCCGCCACCGCCGCCACCGCCGCTGCCGCCGGCGCGCTGGCCGCCGATCGAGTCAATCTCGTCAAAAAAGATGATGCTGGGTGCGGCCTCGCGCGCGCGCTGGAAGAGCTCGCGCACGGCGCGCTCCGACTCGCCGACGTACATGTTGAGCAGCTCGGCGCCCTTGACGGCGAAAAAGTTAAAGTTGGACTCGGTGGCCAGGGCCTGGGCGGACATGGTCTTGGAGCAGCCGGGGGGCCCGTAGAGGAGGAGGCCCTTGGGCGGGTTGATGATGAGGGCGCGGACGCGGGGGTCGGTGGTCGTCGAGAGGGCGATCATGCGCTTGAGAGCCTTTTTGAGGCCGTCCTGGCCGCCAATGTCGCTCCACTGGATCGTCGGCGGCTTGAGGTTGATGTCGTGCATGGCCGTCGGGCGCGTGCAGCGCAGGGCGGCGTCGAGGTCGGCCCGGGCGACGTATGGTGTCGACGGCAGCGCGTGGCCTTGCTGGTCCGGGTCGATGCGCGTCTCGAGAAGATGGATGGCCGTCGACATGAGCCGGTCAAGGTCTGCGGGGTTGAAGGCGTGGGTATGTTTCGCGAGATAGGCGACCAACTCGGATCGCTCTTCGGGCGCGATGGATTCGGACATGGTGTGGAGGACCTGCTCACGGCCGGCGAGGTTGGGAATGGGAAGCGCAATGTTGAGCTGGAACCGCGTCGACCGTTGGAGCTCGGCGGGCATGTCGGTCAGGTAGTCGCTGCAGGAAGCGATGACGGCGACCTTGGGTAACGCCCCCTGCGCCCTGGCCTCCTCGGCCAGTTCGTCGAGCTGCTGGCCGAGCTTGAAGATGATGGTGCTCGAGTTGGCGCGGTCTTTGCCGATGAGGGCGTGGAGATCGTCGATGAGTATGATGCTGGGGCGTTGGGCCTTGGCCTGCTTGAAGGTTTCCTCGACAGTGCTGGATTTGTCGAGGACTTGTACGCGAAAGACGGTGCCCCATTTGGTCGCGGCGACCACGTCGAGCAGGTTGCTCTTGCCGGTTCCGTGGCCGCCATGGACGGCGATGCCACAGGAGCGTCGATGGCGAGGATGCAAGAAGGGGGCGTTGAATCCCCGCAGGAAATCGTTGAGCTTCTTGCTCTCAGCAGCCAGACCTGGGATATCGGGGACGACGAGCTTCGTTGGTGCCACGTGAGTGTCGGTGACTGGCTGGCGGAAGGACACCGTAGGGGGGTCATCGGAGCAGGCGGCGATGTTGTCAGTTTCCGCGTTGACGCTCTGCACACGGAACCTCTTCTTATACGTGGCAATGGTACAGTCAAACGTCATGCCGGGAAAGACGTGGACGGCGCGTTTCAGGGGAAACCAGACGGCGTGCTCCCAGTTGGGTGTTTCCTTGGCAGCAACCGCATCTAGGGGTTCCAACACGATGCTTTTGGCCGCGGGAACAGAAGACTCGTCGCACAGCTTGATGGACAGCTGGTCGCCGAGCTTCAGACCGACCGCCTCCCGAAAGGCATCGGTAGTGAGGAAGACGTTCGGGGGCACCTTTTTGTCGAGCAGGCATGAAAGGACGGCCTGTCGACGTACGGGCTTACTACTGGATGCTTCGGCATCGTCATCGAGGGCGGCGGCCGGGGCAGTCCTCTCGATCCAACATCGTTTTGTGCTCTCGACGCCTCCCGTCAGAAGGATAAGTGTGTCTTTGTTGACCCAGATACGGGCGGCGCCGACAAGGCTCGATTTCTCCTGACTCTGATCCCACGTGCCAACGGGTCGGACCTTGCCTGTGACTTCCTTGCTGGTGACCATGATGGTGTGGAATGGAGAAAATGCGCCTATGGATATTGTGCGCCGAGGGCAGGTAGTTGTGTAGGCGCTGCTCTAGGAGGACCCGTGAGAAGCAGAGAGACCCAGAACAGACAGCTTCATGTACCCAGCACCGACGACGGTAGCTTTTGGCATAGGCCTTGGGTGGATGAACAACGGCGAACTTCCAACGAGCTTTCACTCTCCGTTTCCTTCATGATGTGAAGTGAGTTGACGACCAAATCAGGTTAGTGCACGATAAAAAATTCTGGCTTGGTGCAGCCTCTGACAGCCGCCGTTTGGGGCAGTCACTGTGGTACCCCACCTGCCTCGAGACAGCGCCTGTCTGACACGGCACTGGAGAGCAGGTGCGTGTTTGTGTAGAGAAACTCTAGCAGTAGCGATAGAAGCTGGTCGTATCGGCTTAGCTTCGCTGTCATGGAGTGCATAGTATATGGTTTTCCTTTTATAAGGTGAACACTTGTATAAAGAGTGTATGATGCGTTGGTTATGAAGTCGTATTCGGCGCTCAACATGGGGAGAATGACGGGTTCACAACGCTAAGAAGCAACACGGCTCAGCACCCATGGCGCGTCTGGGACCCTAATGCTCCGCCCCATGTCTACCTACCAGGTACCTATACCTACCTAGGTACCTATACCTACCTAGGTACCTATACCTACCTAGGTACATACGGCACCTAAGGCAGGTACCTAGGTCAGGTACCTCGTCCTTGGTTTGAGGGCCAACGCACTACGATGCCGCACCTGAGGCACTGGGACCAATCGGCATGGAGCTGTCTGTGCTCACTGCCGCTTCGGTTCCACGCTGCAAAAGTCCAGCTTCGTGATTCTACCCAGAGCTCTCGAGCTAACCCTCATCTCAACCTCCACGTCAACCACGTCTTTCATCCAGCCGTCCGCCCCCCGCAGCCGCCACTAACTGCCCTCATGCAATGGGCTGACACCAGAGCGCTGCGCCCCCTCGTCAGCAGCATCGCAGTTGCGCGGATGCCCCCTCGAACCCCCGGCCTTCCTCTTGGCCTGCTTCGCCCTCTATCCCGATCATGGCCGAATCACCGCCCCTTGCACGCCGCCGCCCTGCGCGGCAGTCCATCTAGGAAGGGCAAGACGTCCATCTTCAAGGAGATGTTTCCAGACGCCAGTGCCGGCCACGAGATCCCGAGGACCGACCGACCGAGACGCCCACGCGACGACATATTAGCCAAGGAGCCGCCCATTCAGCGAGAGCTCCCGGGCAAGGATGATCTGCGCGCGTGGCTCGAGGCACAGAGCCATGGCGAGGAAGGCATCAACGCTCGACCGGAGAAGGACGAGATGCCGGCGATGCTCATCCTGTCCAATGCCAGCAAGCATCTCACCGAGGCCGACTTTTACCGAATCGGTCGCAAGGGCGAGCACCTCCAAGGCTGGAACACCACCATCAAGAAGGGTACATCTCCTTCTCACCGTGTTTGTTGTCTCGTGTGAGCAGTCAAAAACTGACAAGACGCAGTCATCCACCTCCACGACCGCAACACCCTCGCCCCCCTGGACAGCTACTTCATCCTCTTCACCTCGCGCGCCGCCGCCCGCGCCTACCAGCGCGAGGCCGAGCAGCTCTACAGCCGCGCCCGCGCCGACGCCGCCAAGCAAGACCTCACCCCGGCCCCGCCCGCCGACGACATTCCCCCCTTTACGCTGGCGCCCCCGTCCCCGGCGCCCCTGAACCTCAAGCTCTACGCCCTACCGCCGAGCACCGCCGCCCGCCTCGGCGCCTTCACCCTCGCCAAAACGCTGCCCGCCCCAGAGAAGTCCGTCGAAGGCGCACAGAGGGTCGTCGTCTCGCTGCAGGGCGGTGCCCTGCCGCCGGCCGCGTTCTGGGGCCTCGTGCGGCGAGATGGCGAGGAGAGGAACCTAGCATGGGACGTGCTTGAGATGCAGCCGTACTTTGCGCAAAAGGCTGCTTCGTCTTCTGCCAGTCACCGGAATAGCAACACACCACGCGACAAGACGAAGAACAAGAAGAAGGAGAAGCAGGAACAAACTGCTGCCGAGAGCACGGCCGAGACACAGACGGCGGAGCAGCGGGCAGCAGGGGAGACGGCGACGACGGACGCGCCCGCGTCGGACGAGCCCAAGGACAAGACGCACGCCAAGTCGGCGCGGTTCGTGCTCTCCTTCAGGGACGTGCACGAGGCGCGGCGGTTTGCCAGGTCGTGGCACAGGAGAGAGTTCCCGCTGTCGCCGCCCCGGCAGGGTCGGGACAAGGGCCGTGTCGGGCAGTGCGTGACGGCCAGCGTGGCGGTGCCGTGGTGAGAAGATATTGGAGATACCCCTTGGAGACAAATTATACCCAGCTCTCTTTCGCGTGTGTGCATGTGCCATGTTTCTTCTCGCATGTGTGGCGCGCGACATCATGAGATGCAGCCATCGTTGTTAAGGAAAAGCAGTTGAACACTGTGAAGCCTAATTACACCTATCCTACCTAAGAACAGGGAGGAGAAAGCTTGCTCGAGCATGATCCGATTCACAAAATGCTAAATCCCAGTCATACGGCGAAATTACTCACAACGTGCGACAAGTGGAAAAACAAGCTGAATTGTACCCCAGTAAAGGAAATAAGGCAGGAAGAGAGAGGGAAAATAAAAGGGCAAGAAAAAAAAACAAAAACCCGAAACTCCGGACCAGATATTTGCTCTCTAAACGGATGATGATGACACGACCAAAGCCTCGGAGGCTCTTTCAACAGAAGAACCAGGCACCCTTCCCTCTCCATCCGCCGGTCGAGTCGCTGTCGCCGCTACCACCACCACGACCACCACCACCGCCGCCGCTGTCGCTCGCTCCGGTATGCTTGCTGCCCCTTCCGGAGTGCCGTATGTGCATGGTCTGTTCGGGCGCCTTAGGCGGCGTACCAGTCCCTTCCTCTCCCCCGCGCCCGCCCATCATCTGCCTCTGCCCCATGGCCATCTCGCCGCCGAGCTCCAACCAAAAAAAAGTCACACCCGCCGCCATCCTCGTGCACACCCAGCTTTCACTCAAGAGAGGCCGTCCCAGGCTAGCAGCACTTGCCGCCGCTGCCCCCCGCCTGCGCGATGGGCACGCCGCCCGCACCGCCGGACGCGCCGCCCGCGCCGGCCTCGCTCTTCTGGTTGTCGATGAGGCGCTTCTTAATGTCGGCGGCCAGTGAGTAGAAGGCCTGGTCAATGTTGATGTTGCTCTTGGCGGAGACCTCGAGGAAGGGGATGCCGAGCTCGTCGGCGAGCTGCTGGCCCTGTTCCGTGGAAACGACGCGCTTGTCCTCCCAGTCGCACTTGTTGCCGATGAGGATCTTGTTGACGCCCTCGGTGGCGTGCTGCTCGACGTTGGCGAACCAGGTGCGGATATCTAGTCAGAGGACAGTGTCAGCATGGGACCCCCCAAGAGGCAGCAACTGGGCGGCAGGAACGCACTGTTAAAGGAGCGCTCGTCGGTCACGTCGTAGACGAGCAGGATGCCCATGGCGCCGCGGTAGTAGGCGGTGGTGATGGTGCGGAAGCGCTCCTGGCCGGCCGTGTCCCAGATCTGCAGCTTGACGCGCTTGCCGTCGAGCTCGATGGTGCGGATCTTGAAGTCGATGCCAATGGTCGTAATGAACGACGGCGTAAAGGAGTCCTCGCTGAAGCGCAACAGGCAGCAGGACTTGCCCACGCCCGAGTCGCCTATCAGCAGGAGCTTGATCTGTGCGTCGTGTTAGCTGGTGATGCAGGGGTCTGGTCGGGTGCTTGTCGTCGTCATCGTCATCGTCGTCGTCGTCGTCGCCCTTGTCGTCCATTCGGGGGAGGCCAAAGGCAGCAGCGCGATCCGGCAGCAGCGGACAGACAGGAAGGGGGCCACCTACCAGGAAGTCGTAGTTTCTGTTACTCGACATGTTGGCGGTGGTCGGAGGGTGCTCAGTTTAGGAGAAAGAGGGGTGTCGTAAAAGACAAAAAAAAAGATTGGTCGGTGATCGGGATTGGTGATGGCAGAGGGGCAAAAAGGCGGTGCTCAATGTTCGGTGGTTGTCGCGCGGAGGGACGGACGTGGCAGATCCAGAACCGAAGAGGTCGAAGGCCAGCGGTGCGGTGCAGTGCGGTGGGATGGGATTGATGGGCTGGTGGATGACTTTGGACTGCTTGATTGATCGTAGCGCGGGCGGTTTCCCCAGTTCGGTGCAGGTCAGGTGCGGTAGTGCCTCCAGGCGTAAAATGAGCCAGGAGCGAGGAGCCAGCAGCCCACGAGGAGCCAGCAGAAGCCCCAGCGAGCTAGGCACCACCCTCAGCGGCCACGACCACTACACCACTCTCCAAGGCCCGGGGAATCGCCACATCCTCAGCCACACAACGTCATTGCTTGTCCGACATCACGACTCTGCTTCCCTCCCTCCGTCGCAGTCGTTGTCACATGGGTGCGACAAGACCTGCAGATCATCGAAACGCCTTTGACGGGGCCATTTGACTTTGATTCTTTCCGTCGAGGCCGAGAACCAAAAAGGTGGTGGCTCCCCAAAAAGCGACCATCACAACGTTACAAGTCTAGTTTGCTGTACCTTTGCGTCCTTTTCCGACTACCGGAGATCCTGTTCTAAGCGGCATCGTCCCTACAGCTGTACCATGGCTGCCAGTTCCTCGTTTGTGTGGCCTCTTCATTCTTTTCCCGTAGACGCCAGCTCAAGGGTGATACTTGCATCAGCCATGTGCTTCCCGGGGGGGGAGGGGGGGGGATAGGTTCATTGCAGGTGCCGATGCAAAGAGAGCCAACCTGACATTTGGATCCATTGCGCAGGGTACGGTACCTGGAGCTCACCAAGTCCCAAGTCCCACTGCGGGGGTCTGGAACATCGGGTCTCCTCCCAATCGCGTGTCCTCTGCCTTCGGGCGCTCTAGGGAGGCGCCTCTAGTGGGTGAGTCCCCTGGATCCATCACCACCCGGCCCCCAAGCTTTATTGTTCGACCGTCATTTCTCTAAGCCTCTACATTCTGTTGCATTGCGTAACGCTTGGCAAAGCCTCCACGCGCTCCCAATGCCATGACTCCTGCTCGTTCGTCTGCCCTATACTCTCGTCGCCCGCTTCTCTGGCCCTCTTGCTGTGTGTGACACATTCATCACCCCTTGACAGCCCTTCGATTGAAGGCATGCAGGAACACGGAGTCGGTTCCAACCAGAGGCCAAGGCCTGGTGCATGATTCGCTCGCAATAACCTTTCGAGTCCCCCCGTCGACATCGAATACGAGCTTCAGGTGAACGAGATCAACCACCTTTCCTCCTTCACTGGCAACCGGCGGACGACATCGTTAGGCCTCAAATCCCGTGTCACAACCTGCACGACAGTCAACGACCGGATGGCTTGTCCACTTGGCATCCATGCTCGCATGCCTGGGCCACCTTCAACAAAGACATATCATTACCGTTCCCCTGGCACCGCCTTGCATTCTTCACACCCGGCCGCTTGAATCTCGAGACGCGAGACGTTCGCCTACTCCAGCAATTGCATGCCAGTCCGGCCTCGACATCCTCATCAGTTTCGTCCGCCCACATTGCCTCCTCCATACCCCCTAGCTCGATCGGATCTGTCGTGATTCTTGACGGCCCTACCCGCCCTTGCCTTAGTCTCGAGACAACTACCTTGCCTCATACCGCACTCAGCCCACAGAACCCAAGCCGTCGGTGCCGACGTCTGTGTGGACACGCCCCCTTTCTCCCTCTCCCTTCTCCAACCCCCTCCTCCTCCTTCTACAGCATTGGATAGTAGCACTGCACGAGAACGACGCAAAGTCTTCATCTTGATGCAGGACGTGCCAAGGGGGCAGTTGTTCTCGATGCTCTTGCTTGGTGCTAGAAGCTGCAAGTGCCCCTCGCCCTCGCCCACGTCCCCACGTCTACGTCCGCGTCCGGCAAGCACCCTCCGGCAAGGCAGGCGCCTGCCTCACTTTGGATAGTCAGTCGCGACCATGGCATCTCCGTGGCCACCCCGACGTCCACCACCTCCACCGCCGCCCCGTTCGCCTCGACGACCTGCTCCCCAGCCCTCTCGACGTCCATCCGACGACTTTGTCACCCGCCTGCACAACACCTCGCTCAATGCCCCGCCCAGCGAGCTGGCGCGCCTCTCTCGCCACGACTTTGCCCTGGAGGATTCTCAGGCCAACGCTGACTCGAGCTCCTCCGAATCTGATATCCACCCCTCCAGACCACGCCGTCGACCAGCCCATTCTCGGTCTATGAGCGTTCCTTTCCCGTCCCTCTTCTCCAGCAAGAAGAAGCAGCGTCCAGACCCGGTGCACGACGACGACTCCGACGACTCCCACAATGACCCGCCCGTGACTCGATCCGCAGCCAAGACACATACAAGGGGCAACATGAGCCAAGGCAACCGCGATTTCGCCACCGGAAACTGCATGACCTGCAACTCCCTCGTGCGCTGGCCGCGAGATCTCAAGGTCTTCAAGTGCACCGTCTGCGTCACCGTCAACGACCTCAGCCCGGAGGAGCACGCCGGACACAGGTCTGGTGGCGTCCCGCAGTGGCTCCGGGGCGCCAACTCTTCCACCTCGTCCTCGTCCTCGCCCCCGGATCAGCCTGCCCGCCCGGTCGACAAGAACGGCACCAAGGAGATATCATTGGAACACACAAAGTCGTTAGTTCACAGCTGCCTTGAGAAGTATCTGGTCCAGGTCGTGCGTCAAGGAAATGCAGCAGAGAAGCAGCGAGGGCCGTCGTCAGGGCATCCGCACTCGCCCATCATCCAGGATGATCATTCGACCGGCCGCTGGATAGCTACGAATCCCGCGACACCGAATTCTGTGTCGCAGAGGATGCAGAAGGAGGAACCTGCAACTTGCATGTTTAGCGAGCAACCGACACTTCGCCAAAACCCTCATCAACAGTCTCCAAGATCATACTCATCCTCCTACCCGGCTCGTCCATTGGTGCACAGCATTTTCGGAGAGGAGAGCATCCGTCCTGCTGCACCTCTGCAGCCCGAAATCGACGGAAAGCGACTTTTCAAGCCCTTGGAGGACTATCTCGTGTCATGCTTCAGCTCGCTGCAGTGTGTGAATTCGTCGTTTCTTCCAGGCCGTCCACATTACACTGCCCGACCGGAGAGTGATGATTCCCAACCTGTGTTCCCTGCACAATCGACTGGCGACGCAACACGGCCGGTTTTTGCGCCTGAACCAAAGGGTAGAAATGTACGACGACAAACCGCCGTGCCTCGATCCGACTCCAAGTGTGCCGAGTCTCAATCGCAGCTGGTTGATCTGGATCCCAAGCTGTTGCTGCTGGGTAACTTCGCGGAAAATGGCATGTGGTGGACAGGGAACCAAAAAGAGTCTCAACAGCATGCGCAATCAAAAGGACGCAAGACATCAGAGGCTGCGCACTCAGTTGTCTCCATGCGTTGCGCTCAGATCGAATGGGATCAGGTCGCTTCATGGTATGCTACATTACTCAATGCGGCAGAGTCTTGGACTGCGATTTATGACAGCCTGTATCAAGAGGAGGCATTCGAGCCTCTATCCGCCGCCGCACTGCAAGATTTGGAAGACGTTCTACTCGCAGCGCAAGAACGAGTGCAAAGGGTCCTGCTCAAAGTGACCGAAATGTTGCTCAAACGACCCGGGCGTGCCTTAACCGACCCCGAAGACATGCGATTCCTCCTCATCTTGCTCGAAAACCCCCTATTGTATGCCATACCGTCATATTATCGGGGCTCCAAGCAACCAGGGACAGGCGGCTCGCGAGGCGGCAAGAACGGGAGCGATTCAACTCATGCGAGAGGCGGCCCAATATCTGGTCAACACTCTGGAGTCATCAAACGGATTCTGGGCCTCATGTCGAATGCCTCAAATTCATGTCATACGCACCTCATTGCATGGTTTGCACGGTACCCCGAATCCAGATTCTCAATATTTAAGGACCTGACAAGCGGTTTTCTCACCTTTCGACTCATTCGCCAGAACGAGAAGAAGTATGAAGCCAAGGTCGACGTCATTGATGGCCTTATACCTAACATGAACACCGGTCAATCTGCAGCCTCGCTTCATGCAGCTCTCGGGACGTCGAGTTCATCGAAAAAGAAGACGAAAGAGCAGCCGAAGAAGATGATATACCATGATGACTGGCAGATAAGAGCTGCCGCACGCGTCTTGGCTCTACTGTTCGCTGCCAATAACACCTTGGGAGTCAGACGCGCAGATGCAACCATGCTGGGTAACTCCAGCGTCGTCCTGCGCGAGGGTGTTCAAGTATTTGGTCAAGTCTTGCCAACCAGCGATTTCTACAACAGCATGATAGACTATGCTGACTTGATCGCTGATTTTGAGGCGTGGGAGACAAAGAGGAGCAAATTTGCCTTTTGCCAGTATCCATTTCTACTCAGTATTTGGGCCAAGTCTCAAATTCTGGAATACGATGCCCGCCGTCAAATGACTACGAAGGCGCGGGATGCCTTTTTCGATAGTATCATGACACGGAAGAATGTCACGCAGCACTTGACACTTGACGTACGCCGTGACTGCTTGGTGGAGGACAGCCTGGCTGCTGTGAGCGAGGTGATTGGCAGCGGTGGCGAAGACATCAAGAAGCGCCTGCGCATCGAATTTAGAGGCGAAGAGGGCTACGATGCAGGCGGTCTCCGCAAAGAATGGTTTCTTCTCCTCGTCCGTGAGGTGTTCAACCCAGAGCACGGTACGTATCACAGTAGAGAGAACGTTGTCTCGATCAGAACTACGACTAACTTATCTGTCAGGCCTGTTTACCTACGATGAGGAGTCACAGCTTTGCTACTTCAACCCCAACTCTTTTGAGACGTCGGATCAGTTCTTCCTCGTGGGGGTGGTCATTGGGCTTGCCATCTACAACTCGACCATTCTGGATGTGGCGCTTCCGCCATTTGCCTATCGCAAGCTGCTCGCTGCGGCGCCAATCTCCCCAGTTCCATCGTCTGCACACCCACGTCCTATCATGACGTATAACCTTGAAGACTTGGCCGAGTGGCGCCCACGATTAGCTGCAGGCCTTAAACAGCTGCTTGATTACGATGGTGACGTGGAGGAGACATTTGGCCTCGACTTTGTTGTCCCAGTTGATAAGTATGGGACAGTGCTTCAGGTTCCCCTTTGTCCAGGAGGCGAATGGAAGCCCGTCACGAACGCAAACCGACGAGAATTCGTAGACTGCTACGTGCGCTACCTCCTGGACCACGCAGTCACCCGGCAATTCGAGCCATTCAAGCGCGGCTTCTACACCGTCTGTGGAGGCACCGCACTGTCCCTTTTCCGGCCGGAAGAGATTGAGCTTCTGGTCCGGGGCTCAGACACAGCTCTTGATATCGACTCGCTCCGAGCTGCAGCTGAGTATGACAATTGGGGCAGTAAGAATCCTGATGGTACAGAGCCTGTCATCGGCTGGTTCTGGGACACGTTCAAAAGCGCCAAACCTTCAGAACAACGAAAGCTCCTATCATTCATTACCGGAAGTGACCGAATACCCGCTATGGGCGCTGCGCTCCTTCCGATCAAGATATCCTGCCTCGGAGAGGACGAAGAACGTTATCCCATTGCTCGAACCTGTTTTAACATGCTGTCTCTTCGCCGTTACGGCTCGCAAGAACGACTAGAGCACATGCTCTGGACGGCTGTGCACGAAAGCGAAGGTTTTGGCTTGAAGTAAACGGCACAAGGAATAAATAAACAACTCTTATCATTGTCATGGCGTATGGGAGTCAGGAATAGGCAAAGGATATCGCAAAGGGCGTATAGAGGGGACCTCTTCATCTGTAAAACAATCACCTTCGGCTGCTACGCAGGATCCGATGTGTATCAAGCATCCAGGCGAGGTTCGCATACAGCCAACGAATTGACCTTGTTCATAAGCTAAGTAGGAAACTCGAATCGGTTTTTCGTGCGGCAAGATCCTGACCATGCTTCGAAATGTTCTCCCACAAATCGTACATCTACAATACTGATACAAACATGATTGCTGCCCGTGGCTGCCCACAAGCCGCCCAACCCTTAGTCGATCACGGACTCCCTGGCCTTCTTCAGGAGGTCCCTCTCCCGATTCCTCTCGTCAATCGTCGCCTTTTGCTTCTTCTTGTCCACGGCGCCCTGGCGCTCCATCTCCTCGACCTCCTTCATCTCCGCCTGCTCCTCGGGCGTCGGCAGGACAGGTTGCGCGCCCGTCTCGGCGAGGAAGCGCGCCAAGATCTCCTCGGAGCGCTGGTTCTTCATGTCAATCTTGACGACGCGCTCGTCGGCGGCCGGCGGCGCCGCCTTGGAGGTGTCGATGCCGGACGAGGGCGGCTGGATGCGCGCCGCGGGTTCCGCGCCCGCGGCGGCCGCGTCGGAGAGGTAGATGGAGAGCAGGGCCGGGCCCTCGTTTGAGTCTTTGCGGTTGACGATCATGGGAATCGAGGGATTGTGGAACTTGAGGCGGGGGAGCATGTCGCGCCAGAACCTCCTGCGGGCCACCGTCAGAAACCATCACTCGTGCGCTGCGGGACCTTCTTATCCCCCCTCTCCTTTTCTTTCCTGTGGGGAGAAGAGAAAACGCACCTGGGACCCATGTGGCCGTTGTTGTATGTCTTTGCGAACTCGACGTGGATTCGGGTCACCGTCGGGGGGATGACGGCTGCGCCGGGGCCGTGGCGTATCCTGAGCATCTGGTTTCGGGGGTCAGTGCCTTGGTTTCTGGGTGCAGGCTGCCTCGATTCAGGGGAGGGGGGGGGGGGGGGATTCTCATACTTGCTGCGAAGAAGGTTAGCATTTGCGAACTCGATAGAGAGATCAGGGGTTAGGGTGCTGGGGCAATTGGTTACGTACTGCCCGGAGCTTGTGCCATCTTGACGCTGCGCCTGTGCCGACCATTGTGAGGAATTGGTTGCGTGGGTTGGTATCCGAATGATGTTCGAGTACCTTGTGCCTGAAGGAGCTAGCAGCTATCTTCCAAGACGAAGTCGCGTGTCAGAGGAGCCTCTTAGAAAATTGGTCGTGATGATTCGGGGCGAGCCGGGGCTTATCCGGATAAGATAAGATAACGCGATCTATCGCGCGTCAGATCACCCAGAAATTTGGGGGGTGAGCTTCCTCCTCAGAAAGTTTCCAGAAACCACTCTGGCTTCGAATGCCCCAGACGACACTTGGCAAACGAGACAGTCGCACTACCGGCAATGCACCGAGCGCTGTCATCGAGATGGCTACGGAGCGCGCTGAGGATTGGTGACCGGGCCGCCCTGGCTGAGGTGCCTGGGTACCTGTGCCCAGCGCTCAGTCTTTCGGCGCAAAGGGGGCGTGGTGTTCCTCATCAGACGACGGTTGCGCCTGGCCAACGAAGGTGTCTTCATGCCGAATCGAATCTTTCAGACCCTCTCGAGCGACTGCCTTCGGATCCCGCAGATGCCGACGCGCTGGCTTTGGCGAAGCTGCCTCTACAATGCCATGGTTGCGGCGCCTTCACTCAGACCACGGAACCTGACCAGGCTGGCTACTACGACTTGAACCGCAAATCTGTACAAAAGTTTGCGGCTTCCGAACACGAGTACGAGATAAAGAAGGGGGAGATCGAGGAAGATTTTGTTGTGACCAAGGCCTTGGAGGGATTGGACGAACACAAGCTGCAAGAGCTTGGCCTGGACCCTAGGACTCTGCTTGCCGGAGAGGACCTCGAGACTGATATTCCCTGTGAGCTCTACCTACGAATAGCCATTCGTGGACGTCGTTGCTAATATGCCGCTTAGCTTTTCCTCCCGCGCCGAACGCAACGCCGCTGTGCAACCGCTGCCATGCGCTCGTGCACCACCGCAAGGGCACGCCCATCTTCCACCCGAGCGTCGACGCCCTCCGCGAAACGATCGAAGAGTCGCCCTTCAAGAACAACCACATTTACCATGTCATCGACGCCGCAGATTTTCCCATGTCGCTCGTACCGAAATTGCACCAGCTTCTGGGCGACGTCAGCCTCAGGCGGCGCAACCGCAGGTCGCGTGCCGGACGCTACTACAAGGACCGCAAGTTCGACATGAGCTTCATCATCACGCGCTCCGATCTTCTGGCGCCGACGGAGAAGCAGGTCAACGCCCTGATGCCGTATCTGCGCGAGGTGCTGCGAAGCGCCTTGGGGGAGTTTGGCGACGTTGTCAGGCTCGGCAACCTCAAATGCGTCAGCGCGAGGCGGAGCTGGTGGACGAAGGACCTCAAGCAGGAGATTTACAAGCGCGGCGGCGCTGGATGGATGGTCGGCAAGGTCAACGTCGGCAAGAGCCAGCTCTTCCAGGCCGTGTTCCCCAAGGGCACGACGGCCGACATACCGTTCAAGAACGCCGTTGAGGTGTCCATGTTTTCGCGGGAGGAGGACGACGAGAACATCAAGTACCTCGACGATGGGGCGGAGAACTACGACGAGCGTCTCGACCTCGACGCCCTGCTGCCGCCGGCGCGCCCCGAGAGCAACTACCCGGAGATGCCCACCGTGTCGTCTCTGCCAGGCACCACGGCCTCCCCGATCCGCATCCCGTACGGCAACGGCAAGGGCGAGCTCATCGACTTGCCGGGCCTCGTGCGGAGCGACCTCGAGCTCTTCGTCCAGGAGGACAAGCGCCAGGCCCTGGTCATGCAGGACAGGCTCAAGCCGGAGCAGCACTCGATCAAGCCGGGCCAGTCGCTGCTGCTCGGCGGCCTCATCCGCATCACGCCGCGGACGCCGGACCTCGTCTTCCTTGGTTACAACTTTACGCCGCTGCCCGAGCACCTGACGTCGACCGACAAGGCCGTCGCCTTCCAGGCGCAGGAGAGGACCGCCGCGCAGGTCGACAACATCTGCACGCCCGACGCGGCCGACAAGATGCAGCTCGCGGGCTCCTTCCCGCTCCGCCACGACGTGACCAAGCTCCGCGCGGGGCCCATCACGCGCAAAAACGCCATCAACATCAAGGTCGAGAACCTCCCGTACCGCGTCCTGTCGACCGACATTCTCATCGAGGGCGTCGGCTGGGTGGAGATGACGGCGCAGGTCCGCGCGAGGCAGCTCTTCGCCAAGCCCGAGGCCACGGCGGCGGCGGCGGAGCCCGTTGTCGACGACAACACGCCCGAGGACAAGCCGCAGGATCCCTTTGACGCCATCCTCTCACGTGTGCACGGCGCCGAGAAGGAGAAGCCCAAGGAGCCGCCGGTCGCCGACAAGAAGACGAACAGCAAGGCCGGCGGACTCGGCGAGCCCGTCGAGCTCAACTGGCCCGTGGTCGACGTGTACAGCCCGCTCGGCAAGTTCGTCGGCGTGCGGCCTCCGATGAACGGCTACATGCTCAACAAGCCGCGCGTGCTGGCGAAGCACAAGAAGGCGCGGCCGCGCAGGAGCATGAAGGGCGCCAAGAAGAGGGACAAGATGGCGCGCAGGGATGCCGCTGCTGCGTCCGCTCCCGCCTCGACGTCGGCTTGAGGCGAGGGCACGAGACGCATCCAGGGAAGACTGTCATAATACTGTATTTTATCCTGTACATTACGACTTGTACCATTATGCGGGGTCATAGAAAAGAAAAACTCCCAGGAACCCATCAATCACCCCTTTCAAAGCTTTCAAAGCGGGGGAAGCATCGCCGATGGACAGACACTCTTTATAGAACCTTTCCCATGACCCGTGATTTCGTAACACAGTCTTCCCGAAATTTCTCCTCCACGCGGCCAGTGGCGCCTTAAAACACCAACATCAGCATGACAAGATGGGGTATCAGCCTGAACACTCCGTAGACGCCCAGGGCTCTTCTCGGATAGAAGAACCCCTCCCAAAGATTACAAGGAAAAAGAAAAAGAAAAAGGACCAGAGAAGCGTGACGTTCGTTCTGGGCACCTTCTCGCCCGAAAGTGCTTCACAGCAGACGCGGGCCTTACGCCGTCCCTGGCGTGACCCCGACAGCCGTGCCGTTGACGGCCTGCCCGGGCGTGACCAGCTCGCGGAAGCGTGCATAGAACGTCTCGGCATCCAGACCCTCCTGCTGCAGCTGCTGCAGCTGCTCGAGCTGCGCCTTTCGCCTCGCGGCCTCGAGCTCCCGCCTCGCCTCCCACCGGACAGAGACGAGAGCGGCCTTGCGCAGGTCAAGCTCGGCGTCGGCGGCGGCGCGTTGGGCGTCGGTCATGGCGCGGTAGTCGGTCTTGAGGCGGTCGAGGTCGAGGGCAGGGTTGGCGGTCGTGGCAGCTGTGAGGTTGCTGCTGCCGCCGGCACCGCCGCCGGTGAGGCTGCCCGGAGGCAGAATCTCGTTGAGGAGGTCGGAGGCGGAGGCGCGGGCGCGAGCGGCGCGGGCCTGGGAGTCTGTCGAGGCTGCTGAGGAGAGAGGGACGCCTGAGGTTCGGTGATGCTGCTGTTGCTGCAGCTGTTGGGCTTGCTGCTGTTGGCGTTGGAGGTCCTTGGGGTATGCTGGTTGTGTTGGTGCAGGCTGCTGTTGAGGCTGCTGTTGTTGCTGTTGCTGTTGCTGTTGGGGCTGCTGTGGTGGCTGCTGCTGCTGCTGCTGCTGCTGTTGTTGTTGTTGTTGCTGCTGCTGCTGCTGGATGGGCCGAATGGGATTCGGGTTGGGAGCGAGGTTCAGAGGGGACGCGACGCTCAGCTTCGGATCAAGGGATGGCGAGGCGGAGGGGGAGGCATCGTCAGACATGGGCTGCTGCAGGCCGCGAGAGGACGAGGTG